AGGCTGTGGGGGTAGTACAAAGAGGAGCTATAAAGAAGGTTGGTTAATGGGTACAAAGATACAATTCTATATAAGAAATAAGACTAGTGTTGAGTAGCCCAATTGGGCAACTGTGCTTGACAATAATTTATTAGATATTTCAAAGAAGATAGTAAAAAAGACATAGAATGTTCCCAATGCAAAGAAACGTTCATTATTTACAGCAATGAACATCCTAGTTACCCAGATTTGATTATTACACATTGGAAACTTACATCAAAATACGACATGTAACCCAAAAATATGTACAATTATGTATCTATAAAAAATGTTTAAATAAACAAATGTTCTCACTGCACACAAAAGCAATAAGTGAGGTGATGTGTGATGTTAATAGCCTTGCTGTAATCATTCCATAGTGTACACATACATCAAAACACACTTTGCCCCATGAAAACATACAATTATTGTTTGTCAGTAAAAATTAAAACAAAAAATATAATCAATACGATAACAGCAGATGTGCATAGAACACCTAGGTGTGCACAAAGTCATGTGAGCATAATGTGGAATAGGCGAGCAAGGCGTTCATATGCTGTGAGACTGAGTCACCCAGAGTATGTGTGCAAGGTGCAGAAGTGGAGAGAACAGCCTATCTGTGCAACAGTTGTCCCCACTGGTGGCATGGCCATTTGGGGACAGTGATCTGAGGGCTAGGGAGAGACATGAGAAAGGCATCCTTGTCCAGCCTGGTCATCATGTGTGCCTCCTTACACATTTCCATCACCTCCCCACCAAGGTGGGGCTTGCTTGGGTTTACTTGACCAGCTGAACGCATTCCCTTGTGGGACGCAGTTATCAAAGCACCTCCTAAAAAGTTTTCTATGCACACTCCAAAGGACAGGACCTGCCTGGGCCTGATCATGGATGAGTATCTTGATAATTTCTTAAAGCCCATCTTCCAAAGGCCAGCCAAGCAGCGCCCTTCTTTCAAAGGAATACTTCGACATTTTCTGGGAGGCATATGCGGGGACCAGCCTCTCAAGAAATTTCAGTGGGCCTGGAAATCCTCCCAGTGCATGAAGAGTTGCTCCAGCTGCTGTCAACCGTGGCAGTGAGTTGGAAAGGTTTTCTGAAGGCATGTTCAACAGCAGGTGCTGCATGGGCCCACCTTGGGCCCCCTGGCTAGCTTCGCTTCCCCTGCAGTGGGAGACTTAGAAAACCCTTGGAGGTTCATCATGCAACAGAGCTCCAGGGCCCTCCATGGAACCGTCTGCCAGAGAGAGACAGAAATATTTTTAAGATACACATCCATCTGTGCCCAATGAGGAGCTGTGGCAAGATTGAGTGGCCCTCCTCTGGCCTGCCCAAATTGTGCTGGTCCTGCCCCCTGGATACTAACAGATTTGTTGGTCTAATTTGCCAAGTACTGGGACTCTGCATGATCGAGGCCAGATGTGTTCCTCTGGGTTCCTCTAGTCAGCCCACTGCTCCCACTCCAAGGGCCTACTTGGAAATGTTTCAGGGAGATTCATGCCCTGACCAGACCCACAAGGCTGGTTCTTTCAGTGGCATGGGCCAGTCCTGCCACTGAAAGGGACCAGGTCCTATGCAGCAATGTAACTAGTCTTGGCATCCCCAGGGCCTTCCTGTTCATGCCAAGATGTCCCCATCTCCAGAGAGGAATCGAAATCATCAGGGAGAGGCAATGACCAAATGGATCAAGCCTGTAGCCTGCACCCTGAGGGGGCTTTTCAGGCTGGCTAGTCCCCACCAACACAGGGGTAGGCACCACAGCCCAGAGGTGGACTTTGAAACGTTTTCTAGACCAGTAGCAAGTACACTGACACCCCCCACAGGAATCTCTGGCCATCCATTTCAGAGACACGGAAAAATATTTTAGGAGCATCTGGCGACTGAGCCACACCTGGGACATGCCCAGGGTGGTGTTTTCACTGGGTCTCCCTCTTCATCCCCAGACAGTCTCTGTTTCTAGAGGGGGACTTAGATAAAATTTCAAGAGGCTCTTCCAGTGACCAGACCCCACATAGGACTGTGTTGGGACCTGGGGCACCATCTCACGGCATCCTGCTCAGTGCTACCCACAGAACAGAAATATTTTCCACAGGTAAATCAGATGGCCAGGACCTACCCCGACCCTTCTTGAGCCAAGGCACTTCCGCAGAGCTCCTGGTCCATCCTAGACCAGTCTCTGCCATCAAAGGGAGCCTAAGAAATTGTTGGGCATTGCCTCAGATGACTTGCCCCTTTGCAGGACCAGATGAGCCTGGGGTGTAGCATCAGGGTGGACCTGGCTTGCCTGCAGTGCCCCCTTTTCAGGTGGGAGATCTGAACATATTTGGGGGCTTACATGGGATGACCAAGCCCATGCAGGACTGACTACCACTTGGTTTTCACTGGCTCTCTGTCATGGGAGTGGGACCTAGAAACTTGGTTTTGGGGGTACCTCCTAGGACCACATCCCATGTGAGGCCATGGCTGCCCCATAAGCAGTCTTCAGTCCTTTGGCTGGCTCAGGCAAGTGTCCACCTTCAAGGCACATCTGGCAGCCACAGCCAGGCCTAGGACATGTTGCTGGGTCTCTATGTCTGTCATGGGCTGGTCCCTGCTTCAGAGAGTATCTGAAGCAAAGGCCATGGCTAGGCCTGGGACTCTCCCTTGGTGACTCACTGGCCTGGGCCTGGGTCCCCTCCTCCAGAGGAGAACTCAGAAATGTTTTCTTGAGACACTGCTGATGACCAGGCCCACACAGGAACAGGGCCTGACCCTTCAGGCCCTGTGCTTTCCAGGCCTTCCTGACAGGCCCACTGCAATCTTCCTAACATGGTTTGGATTTGTGTCCCTAACCAAATCTCATGTCGAATTGTAATTACCAGTGTTGGAGGTGGGGCCTGGTGGAAGGTAATTAGATCATGGGGGTGGTTTCTGATGATTCAGCACCATCCCCTTAGTGCTGTCTTGTGATAGTTATCCCAAGATCTGCTTGTTTAAAAGTATCACTTCTTCCGCTCTCTCTTCCTCTTGTTGCCACCATGTAAGACAGCTTGCTTCCCCTTTGCCTTTCCACCATGATTGTAAGGTTCCTGAGGCCACCTCAGAAGCAGATGCCTGTACAGCCCACATAACCACAAGCCAATTAAACCTCTTTTCTTTATACACTACCCATTCTCTGGAATGTCTTTATAGCAGTGTGACAAACAGATGATTACACTCCCTTCCCTTTGAGGAGGACTTGGAAGCATTTGTGAGAGGCACACCTATGACCAGGGGCCTTGCAAGACCATGTCTGTTTCCATTTCCCCTTCCCCTGACTCCCAGTCTGCCTTCACAGAGTGTACATAGGAGCACTGGGGTAGGTGTTTGCAAAGCCAGGGCCTTGCATGGAACTGCGGTGGGACCCAGGGCCTGCTCCCCAGGCCTCCCAGTCACTGGAAGGAAAGTGAGAGTGTTTTGGGCAGGCATCTTTCTGCTTCAGTGTGAAGTACTCACTGGGGTCAACAGGGAGGCCTGAGGAGCACAGCACTTTTAGCCTCAGTACCACTTGGAAGCTAGAAGTGGTCTATCAGAGCCAGGACTCAGGCCATGGCTTGCCCCAGTGACACTGATCTTTTCTCTGACATTTCCTTCTCCCTTTATCGTCTCTCCAAGTACCTAAAAAAGAAACCAGAAGAACTTAAGGCCAAGGGATATCAGAAGGACAGACCATCTGGGGCCTGTTTGGCCAACTGAAATGGCGGTGGCGGCGGCAGCGGCGGCGGGTACACAGGGGTACTTCCCGTGGGAGAACAGAGCGGCAGAGGCCGGGGCGGGGCGGGACCGCGGCCGGGAGGGAGAGGCCGGGCTGGGAGAGCCCCTGGCCTGGGAGGAAGGAGAGGAGGCCGAGTGTTTCCTGGCGCATTTCCTGCCCGCCCGACTGACTCATTTGGCCAAGGAAACTCCCAGGCCCCGCCCAGACTCCCAAGCCGCTGTGGACCCAGGTGAGGAACCCCATATGCCCGCGTCCACCCTGTGGCCTCCGTGGGGTCTGGATAGCCCTCGGAACCTGGGTCGGCCAGGGCGGCGGGCCAGGACTGAGCCCCTGCCCCCCACCCCCCCGCGCTGCAGCCTCCGGGATCGCCCCAGGCTCCAGGTCCCCCTACCCCTAAACCGGACTCCAGGTCCTTGCACCCCTAAACTGCTCCCGGGAAAAGGTACGTACCGATCAGAAAATGCACACTCCAGCCCCCGCCAAAGGACAGCGCCAGGCAGTACCTGGCACAGCGGGAGGTTGCACTGTCCTGAGAATAACTGCCAGAAAGCGACTGTCGGGGGAGCCCAAACTCTCGCACAAACAGCAGCCAGACGCGCTGCAGGAGCGTGGAGCGTGGCGTGGCACGCTCCTCTGCAGCTTTGGAGCCGGCTGGATCTACAGCAGGAGCGCGACTTGCCAGAGCTCGTCTGGAGTGTTGCCAGCCTCCACGACGAGACAGACCCCAACTTCCAGCTCACCCTAATCTTCACCTGGTCCAACTTCAAGCGCGGGGCGGGGCGGGGCGGGGCGGCGCGGGGCTGGGCGTGGGGTCGTGGGGCGGAGCGGCGCGTGGGGTGGCGGCACGTGGGGTAACGGCGCGTGGCTGGGGGAGCGCAGGGCGGCGCGGCGGGCGGCGGGCAGCGGTGCGGCTCGGCTTGGGGCTGGGGATCGCGGCCGGGAGGAGTGCGGGTTCCCTGGAACAGGTCGCGCTGGGGCGGGGCGCGGGGCTGAGGCGTCGCGGAGCTTTCGCAGGCCCTGTCGCCACCCGCTCCATGCTGACGAGGCCCTCGGGGTAAGCGTGGGACTGGGTTCCTTTGGGTCGGGGCTCGCGCCTGCAACCCCAGGGCTCTTGGAGGCCCAGGCGGTACTCAAGGCCAGCCTGGGCCATGTATATAACTGCATCTCTCTATAATTTTTTTTCTTTTTAAGTAAAGAGATTGTATTCTCACTGATTCCTGCTCTCTGGTCAGCCAGTACAATTTCCCTCTCACTCTGCTTTCCTTTTTCCAAAACGCGTGTCAGAACACTGATTTAACCTGTCATTACTGTCTCCTCTGCTTCCACTCCAGGTAGAATGCTGCATCCCTGCACAGCTCCTGGCAGGTAGCACGGTAAGTCACCTAATACAATTGCTAATGCGGTTTCTCTTGTAACCAGTTTCTTGTTTAGTTGGTTGGTTGGGTTTTGTTTTGTTTTGTTTTTGAGACGGAGTCTCGCTCTGTCACTCAGGCTGGAGTGCAGTGGCGATGATGGCTCACTGCAACCTCTGCCTCCTGGGTTCCAGCGATTCTCCTGCCTCAGCCTCCCCAAGACGCATGCCACCACACTTGGTTAATGTGTGTGTGTGTGTGTGTGTGTATTTTTTTTTAGTAGACATGGGATTTCACCGTGTTAGCCAGGATGGCCTCAATCTCCAGACCTCGTGATCTGCCCCCCTTGGCCTCCCAAAGTGCTGGGATTACAAGCGTGAGCACCATGCCTGGCCTCTTGTAACTAATTTTTAAAGACTTACAGAGTTTAGATATTTAGGTGGAGTGAGATCTCCTATTTTTCTTTGTGGGAAATGTAAATTAAACAATACTTTAGTTCTTTGTTCATAATGAAGTTATTAGTAAAAGAATGTTAATGTTCTACCTGTTTAATTTCAGTAAAAATCTTCTTGAATAATGATTAGGTTTTCAAAACCTATAATCTTAGTTACCTTAATGATCATAGCCCGTAAAATGTCTAGTTAGTTGATTTATAATAGGAATACAGGGCTTACAGATTCTTTTAAAACATGCTAAGTTTTTGAAGTAATAAATGAATTCTTAACTGTAACTTATAAAAATATACAATGTTCTTGTGTCAGTTTGCTGAGAATGATGCACCGCATATTCTCACTCATAGGCGCATATTCTCACTCATAGGCGGGTGATGAAAAATGAGAACACATGGACACAGGGAGGGGAGTACTAAACACTGGGGTCTATTGGGGGGAAAAGGGGAGGGCCAGCGGGAGGGGGAGGTGGGGAGGGATAGCCTGGGGAGAAATGTCAAATGTGGGTGAAGGGGAGAAAGGAAGCAAAACACACTGCCATGTGTGTACCTATGCAACTGTCTTGCATGTTCTGCACATGTACCCCCAAACCTAAAATGCAATAAAAATTAAAAATATATATATATATACAATGTGTGAAATAGGTTATACAATACAGAAATGTAAATGCTGAATCCCAAGTTAATTTTCTATTAATATTTCTAAATGACTGTAGTCAGATGTTCGTCATTGTAGAGCTGGGAGAGACATTAGAGGTTACTATTTACCTTCATAAAATGGAACACCACGTTACCTATACCTAAAGTACCTATACCTACACCTAAAGTATAGGTAACATGGTGTTCCATTCAGCAGTTTGCTGGAATTGAATCAGATATGGTTTTCAGTAGTGAAATTTTATTTCTTTTAAGTACAGATTGCTGGCTGTGATAATAAAAAAGGCAAAACGTTTTTTGCATAGGCTATGCTATGTACGTATACATTAGTTGCATAGGCTATGCTATGTACGTATACATTAGTTGCATAGGCTATGCTATGTACGTATACATTAGTTGCATAGGCTATGCTTTAATGTTATGATGCTTTAAACCATCAGAAAAATGAATAGTTCTTGTTTACATTTTTAAAAATTGTGGCCGTTTAGAATTCTAGGCCCTAGAAATTCAAAAATGAGTAAGTTATAGCCTCTGTCTTTAAGAAAGAGGCAAAAGTTAATCACAGTATAATAGATGATAGGGAGTTTTATAATTCAGATATTTGTTAATTTGGATGAGGAAAAAATTGTACTAATCTCTAACTGAAAAGTAGCATCTCATTCCATTATGAATGAAGGCAGAAAACCATAGGAGAAAGAGAACACTCCCCTTTGAGAATGAGTTAATTAAAATGAGTTAAAATGTTAAATGTCTTAGAATATCAATTTAATAAATGTTTAAATACTTTTAAATTTTTATCTGATTGTATTTTATTTTGAGTCTTGTTAGTCTTTTTTCCTTTAGTTTTGAGATTTTTTTCAAAGATAGATATAATAAAGCTGATGAAGTTCTTCTGTCACATTTTAGAAAAGACAGATGATTTTGACTCGGGAAAATAGTTGATGGAAGGTGAAGAAGTGGACATTGGTCCAGACATGGACACACCAGTAAGTGACAGTAGTTTTACTATTAAAAATTTAAATACACACCAGGTGATAGAGATGATTTTAATGTGTCTTCCATCCTAGGTCAACTAAGCTAAAACAGGAACACTCTTAACTAATCTAGTCATTTATCATGGAAGTCTGGTTAGGATTTTGCACCAAATCACTAGTATTAAGAAGTTACAAGGGGGTGGGCATGGTGGCTCACACCTGTAATCTCAGCACTTTGAGAGGCTGAGGAGGGAGGATTGCTTGAGCTTAGGAATTTGAGACCAGCCTGGGTAACATAGTGAGATCTTATGTCTATTTCTTAAAAATAGATTTTAAAGAAAGACATTGTTTGGTCACACTGGGCACACTGGCTCACGCCTGTAATCCTAGCACTTTGGGAGACCAAGGCAGGTAGATCACTTGAGGCCAGAAGTTTGAGAGACGCCTGGGTAAGATAGTGAAACCCCATCTAGTAAAAATACAAAAAATTAGCTAGGCATGGTAGGACACGCCTGTAATCACATCTACTCGGGAGGCTCAGACACGTGAATATCTTGACGGTCAAGGTTGCAGTGAGCTGAGGTCCTGCCATTGCACTTGGTCACCTGGGTGACAAAGTGAGAGACTGTCTCCAAAAAGGAAAAAAGACAAGTTAAAAGGGTTGAGTATAAGTATCTCTTAAGGACCTGTGATCTTGGAACTTATTGCCACCAAAAATAATTCCATTCCTTATTGTTTCAATGTTGCAGAAAAAAATAAAAAGTAATAATTATATTTCCATTCCTATAATAGGCACTTCCAAGAGATTTAGAAAAAAAAAATTCATTTGGTTTTTGTTTTTCTGTTCCATGTTGCTTCAAAATTTTTGCTTCTCTTCAAATCTTCTTAGTCTTTTAATATAAATAGCTTTAAGTGTTATACTCTGTAAGGCTAAAGTGTATTTCTTTTTTAAATCAGAATTGGTCTGAAGAAAGTGACAAGGAAAACGATCAACAGCCATTAAGCAGAGAAGACTCTGGAATTCAGGTAGACAGGACACCTTTAGAAGAACAAGATCAAAACAGAAAACTGGATCCTTGTATCAGCTGGAAAGGTACTGTGTGTTGTGAGGTGCTAACATTTTCTAATAGACAAATTCCCCAGAAGAAAAGGCAAGCTTGAGATCAGTTTGATGTGATCAAGGTATCGGCTAAGCAGTATCATCTTTATAAATCCAATTTTTAAAACTATTAGTAATCTTTTCTATATGATGCTTAAGTAGTAGTACTATAAAATTAATGTTGAATTAATGTATGAAGAGTGTAATTTTGTAATTTTTTTCCCATAGTTCTGAGAACTTTCTTAGGCCTAAATGTTTCCTTTTTTTTTTAATTACCCAGGAGGCAAAGGTTTCAGTGAGCTAAGATTGTGCCATTGCACTCCAGCAACAGAGCAAGACCTTGTCTCAAAAAAAAATTAAAATAAAAAACTATAAGGGAGGATATGCATACATTATATGCAAACACTATGCCATTTTTATCAGGGACTTGAGCACCTACAGATTTTGGTGTCTGCAGCATTCCTGCAGTCAACCCCTGGTGGATATTGAAGGACAGCTGTATTTATTCCAGACTTTCTAATCTGTGCTCTTGGTGTCGGTGTGACCTGGAAACAGTCAGACTGTTATTTATGTGACTTTTTAATATTATGTCTTGATACATAGATGGCAGGTTTCCTCTCAGCTGCTTGGGAGACTGAAGCAGGAGAATCACTTTGCTCTGTTTTTCTCTTTTTGGAGAAAGGGTCTCACTCTGTTGCCCAGGCTAGAGTGCAGTGGCACAATCTTAGCTCACTGAAACCTTTGCCTCCTGGGCTCAAGCAATCCTCCCACCCCAGCCTCCTAAGTAGCTGGAACCACAGGTGAGTGCCACCACACAAAGCTATTTTTTGTAGAGACATGGTTTCACCATGTTGCCCAGGCTAGTCTCAAACTCATAGACTCAAGCAATTCACCCACCTCTGCCTCCTAAAGTGCTGGGCTTACAGGGGTGAGCTACTGTGCCCAGCCCACTTTGCTCTTTTTTTTTTCTCCCCATTCAGCTTCCCCAAGTAGCTGGGATTACTGACATACACCACCACACTCAGCTAATTTTTGTATTATTAGTAGAGACAGGGTTTCACCATGTTGGCCAGGTTGGTCTCAAATTTCTGACCTCAGCTGATCTACCCACCTCTGCCTCCCAAAGTGTGGGGATTGCAGATGGGAACCACTGCGCCCAGCCCACTTTGTTCTTTTTCAAAATTGGCTTAGCGATTTGTGAACTTTTATTCTTCGATAGACATTTTAGAAGCAAGATGGTAAACTTTTTTTTAAAAAGGCCCACCTGGCTCATGCCTGTAATCCCAGCACTTTGGAAGGCCAAGGCAAGTGGATCACTTGAGGTCAGAAGTTTGAGACCAGCCTGACCAACATAGTGAAACCCTGTGACTACTAAAAACACAAATGAGCTGCACACAGTGGTGCATACCTATAATCTCAGCTACTAGGGAGGCTGAGGCAGGAGAATCGCTTAAACCAGGCAGGCAGAGGATGCAGTAAGCCACGATCATGCCATTATACTCATCCTGGGCAACAGGAGCAAAACTGCATCTCAAAAAAAAAAATCCAGCTGGAGTTTTTATTGGGATTGCAGAGAATTTATAGCTCTAACTTGGGGAGGTTTGATTGCCTTAACATGTTAATATCTACATTTATTGTAACTCTTTATTTTTACTAGATGTTGGAAATTTTCTTTTTGAAGATCTCCAGTGTTCTTTTGTTAATTTCTATATCTGTTACAGTTTTTATTTTTCTGAATGATACTTCTTTTGTTTATTCCTGATGTAGAGGAAATAATACTGGTTTTCTTATATGCAGCCTTTGTTTGAATTCTGATATGAATTATAATACTTTGTTGATTCCATTTGGTTTCTTATATAGATGATTAGTGTCATCTGCAAATATTGGTTTTTATATGCAAATATGGTTTTAGTGTCATCTGCAAATATGGTTTTATGTCCTCCTGCTAGTTCTTATGCCCGTGTCTTCTCTGTGATGTCGTGATCTAATCTCTTTTCTGGCCCAGCAGCCTAGCCCTCTACTCCATAGCAGAAGCAGCAGCTCATAGGAGTGGGCTTTCTGGACAACTAGGTCTCACCCTAAGGGTGGGGGTTATACCTAAAACTCCTCCGTTAAGTGTGATGTTTGTTTGGTATCAGTTCAGGGTATGTAGCCTTTGTCAAACTAAGACAATTTCCTTCTATTCCTTTTTTTCTACAAGTCTTTAATCGTAAATAAATGTTGAATTTTTATTAAATGCTATTATCTGGGAGATAATTTCATAACTTTTCTCTTTTATCCTAATAATACATTGATAGACTTTCTAATATTGAATTATCCTTGAATTCTTCACCTGAACTTGTTTGAACATGTTATTTTTTAGTACATTGTTAGATTGGGTTCAATTTTGGATTCGCTTTTTTTTTAAAGACAGAGTCCTGATCTGTCACCCAGGCTGGAGTGCAGTAGCATGCTCACAGCTCACTCCAGCCTCAACCTCCTGGGCTCAAGCTATCCTCCACCTCAGCCTCCTAAGAAGCTGGGACTTCAGGTGCATGCCAGCACACCCAGCTGTTTTTTTTTTTTTTTTTTTTTGCTCTTTTTGTAGAGATGAGGTTTCACTATGTTAGAGACCAGCCCAGGCTGGGATTACAGGTGTGAGCCAGCAGGTTAGCTCTTTTCTAATGTAAGATTTTTCATCTTTACTCTAATGAATTACAAAATATCTTTATCTGGTTTAAGCATCACTGTTATATTAGCCTCATAAAATGTTAGGTGGCTTTCTCTTTTTCTGCTTTTTCAAACGACTCATGTAAGATAGACATTATCTAATCCTTCAAAATTCAGCACCAGTGCTGAGGCTTTGGGAGTGGTTGGGAAGGTCTTTGGTTGCCATTTTAATTTCCTTAATGGTTATTGGACTATTAACATATACAATTTACACCTTCTTATATGTGGGACAATTTTTTTAACTTTCTAGTCAGTTACATTAATTAAATTTAGTATGTGTTTCTTTTTAAATGTGTTGCTGGTCTTGAACCCCTAGACACAAGTGATCATCCCATCCTGGTTTCCCAAATGGCTGGTATTATGCACATGAACCATAGAACCCAGCTGATATATGTGGTTTAAAATAAATGATCATATGTAAGTAAATGTTGTTAGGTAGCTGCTATTTTTAAAAAGCCATTTTCAACTATACATTTGAATGGATCTGTAAGTCCAGATATTGTGACCCAGTATTTATTGTTGTTGTTAACTGTTATAACTCAAACTTACTATATTTCTTTCAAGCAAATGAGCCAGATGACTGAAGCTGGCTGGAACATCACATGGTCCATCAGTGCTGGACAGCCAGGCCTTCCCAGTTTCCTCATAGCTTACATTTGCACTCCAGTTTAGCTGCTGTCTGGTAAGAAGCTAAAGTTTTCATTTAATGTGATAATAGAAAAAACTTTGATGTTTAAACATCTGGCTTTGATTTGTGACTTCAGTTTCTCTCTGAAATTTAAATTTGTTTTGGCTTTGACAATTTCTTTTTTGAACAGAGTCTTACTCTAGTTGCCCACACTGCATTGCAGTGGTGACATCTCAACTCACTGCAGTGTTCGTCTCACCCAACTAATTTTTTATTTTTTATTTATTGATTTTTGGCAGGGGGGAGAGAAAGTCTCACTCTGTCACCCTGGCTGTAGTGCAGTGGCATAATTGTGGCACATTGCAGCCTCTGCCCACCTGGTTCCAACAGTTCTCATGTTTCAGCCTCCCAGGTAGCTGGGATTATAGGCATACATCACCACACCCAGTTAATTTTTATATTTTTAGTAGAGATGAGGTTTACCATGTTGTCCAGGCTGGTCTCCAACTCCTGACCTCAGGTGATCTGCCTACCTCAGTTTCCCAAAGTGCTGGGATTACAGGCACGAGGCACTGTGCCCAGACCCAGTGTTTTAATTTATCACAGCATAACTTGAATTTAGGTTCTATCATGTCACCTACAATGTAAAAATCTTTGGAATCTAATTTTGAGAGTCTGTCCTAGGCATAGAAAAGCAGTAATCTGCTGATTTTAAATGTGGGGACTGGGAACCAGATGTTATTAAAAATGTGAGGAAGTGATCTTGGAATATAAGTCACCTGGTAGATCATCTCAGTCCGCTGTTCAGGATCCATTCACTGCTAACTCATTGCCTTACACAGAGCTTGGGGCAGGAGCAGCTGAACCTTCACCATCTAGAGGCAAGACTGGAGTACTCGACACCCATCCTTGCTGTGCTCCTGAAGAACCAGGGTCGCAGGTGAGGGGGAGTGGGGTGCCTGGGCCACACGAAATGTTTAGGGCCATTTTCCCGAGCTCGCCTGAAAACAGCTCACCCTGTTTGGTGTTTCCATGTGAGGTTTGGACCTCACAGGCCTTTCATGATTGTTTCCTGGGACAAGCTCACATCAGGTTTTCCTCCGTCCGCCCTTTCCCAGGTGTGACCAGGCCAAGGGTTCCCCAATGGGCTCTGACCTGCTGCCCCCAGAGCCCGCCCGCCCAGCACAGGTGCACACCTCCTGCCCACAGGGTGGCCCCAGACGGGTGCCCTGGGAGTCCCTGAGCCTGCTACCCAGCACAGTCCTCCACTGCGCTGACCCCACCTGCTGCCCTGACAGGCCAGGACTAACTAGCACTAACAGGCCCTGTTAGCATGGCCTCCAGAATTGCCCTGGCCCCAGCGTTCCCAGCTTCTGGCCCTGGGCTCCTGGTCCCCCCAACCCTAAACTGGCCTCCTGGTCTCTGCACCCATAAACTATGCCCCCCAGGCTCCAGGTCCATGCACCCCCAAACCACAACACTTGGGCTCCAGATTCCCATGCCCCCTAAACCATGTCTCTGGGCTCCAGGTCCCCACAACCCCTAAACTGTGCCCCCTGAATTCCAGGTCCCTGCACCCCCTAAACCACGCCTCCCCGGGCCCTGTGCCCCCAGTCTCTTGGCCTCAGCACCAAGCCCTGGCTCCTGGATCCCCAATTCTGTGGCTCCTGTGGGGAAGGGACACCTCCATGTTTCACAGGTTTTTGTTGGAAAGTAAGGGGCAGGCAGATTGCTAGTGTTGCCCTAAGCTCGTGCAGTGGAATCTGAACCCGTTTTTCTTTTGTGCCCTATGAGGACCTGAGGGAGCCTGGTCCGTGGGGCTGTTCCATGCATTCTTGGAGAGAGGAGCTTTGGGCTTTGTTGAGGAGGCGCGATTGTTTCAGGGGCAGCACTGTTTTGCATGAGCCTTCTGAATTGTGTATTTTCAGCCTGAAATGCATGAGCTTCGTTTGCAGTAACTGTGGGTATGACTAGAAGGGGGCAAGAATAATTGGCAAATGGGGTTGAAGGAGCGTTTTTTTTAAGTGGAGAGGGGCGTTGGGACATTGCCCGCTCTGCCGTGAAGTCCACTCAGGGAGTGGCTGCAGATGGAGCCCAGCACTGTGCAGACACCCTGGGGACTGAGGCTTGGAGTGTTTGTTTTCTGGTGTTGGAGGGCACCATGGCCACGCCAGGAGCAGTGGCATTTCCTGGACTCGTCAGGTTGAATCCAGGTTGAGGCATGGCCAGAGCCATGGGGATGCCTGTGCAGATGCACGTTGCTGTGCTTGACAGCTTGGTGGCTGCGACAGAGCCCTGGCCAGGCCAGGACCTGTGGGGCCCCACATGTGCTGCCCTTTGCCTGCGCGGGCCAGTGCTTTCCATGTGAAGTCTAGACCCACAGGCACAGAGCCTGGAAAAACGAGTCACGTTGTGGGTGGGTGCGGGCCACGGCAGGTGTGTATTTGCAGGGTCCCTGCGACCGACGTGCCCTGTAGTCCTGCATTAGGACAATTGTCTCTGTGCGACGCTCAAAGAAAATGTATCCCCTAAGTTTGTGTGCGTGTTTAAATTTACTTTAAAATTTACATATAGTAAGGTTCACTTTTTGGTGTGCAGTTAGTTCAGTGAGCTTTAACAGATGCGTGGACTGCAGTGTCTACCACCACAGTCAGGATACTCAGGAAGGCAGCCTCTCTCCTCCTTCCTGCTCCTGCAGCCACCTGTCTGTTCCTCAGTCCTGCTCCTTTGCCTTTTTCAGGGTGTCACATGTGGGCTTGGAGTCTGGCTTGTTTTACTTAGCATAAGGAGTTGGAGATTCAGTCATACTCTGGTTTGTCCCTGAAGCATAAAGATACAAAGGTTTTAAAAGTGTGGCTCAGCCTGAGAGAGACTAAAATGATAAAGTGATGAGAAAAATTATGAAACTATAGTTCATTAAAAGCATTAAATAGTATGGAACCTATTATACTTTTAAGTAGTATACAGTCTTTGCTGTGCATATGTAATTTTTTTTATAACGTAGTGAGAGCATATTGCATATGTTATCATCATACGTTTTTCACTTAATGATGTTTGGTTATTTAAACATCTTAGCAATCTTTACATGTTGATATATACAGTGTATACACACATATTTCTCTTAGTCTTTTAAGTGGCTATATAGTTTTTTTTTTTTTTTTTTTTTTTTAGGCAGAGTCTTGCTTTGTGACCCAGACAAGAGCTCGTTGCAAACTCGGCTCACTGCAACCTCTGCCTCCTGGTTCAAGAGATTCTCCCATGTCATCCTCCCAAGTAGCTGGGATTACAGGCATGCACCACCACACCTGGCTAATTTTTATATTTTTAGTGTAGATGGAGTTTCACCATGTTGCCCAGGCTGGTCTTGAACTCCTGACCTCAAGTGATCCTCCCACCTCAGCCTCCCATAGTGCTGGGATTAAAGGCACTAGCCACTGTCCCCAGCCAGATGACTATAGTGTTCTGTAGTGTGGATGTTCCGTAATTTTATCAGCCTTCTGTTAATTGATGTTATAGTTATTTACTGTTTTACACCACTACAATCAGTGCTTGTGTCTGTGTCTTTGTGCACATATGTTTATCATGTTGAAGGTGGCTTTGGGTTTAAATATTAGCTAACATTTCATGAGTATTTCTCATGCTCCAGGATCATTCTAAGCCAGGGTTACCTGTCAAGGTCCAGGTAGTGACTGCTGACAGCCGTGCAGGCTGTGTCATCTCTGGGCTGTAGCACCCGTGCAGTGTGGACAATATGTATGGGGAATGAGTCTGGCTGTGTCCCATTGAAACCTCTGTACAGAAAGAGGCAGTGGTCTGTAGTTGTTGACCACTGTTCTACATTGTATACATCCTAATTATTCTGATAGTCCTCCAAGGGAGGTGCAGTTACTATCCCCTTTGCGGATGAGGAAACTGACACACAGAAAGGAAGAGTCCAAGGTGACATGGTTGATCGATTGCCGAGCCAGGCCTTGACCCATCCATCCGTCTTGTGTGCTTCAAGTTGAAAGATTAGAAAGAAGCTGCCAAATGTCTTCTCCTAAATGTGAGACCTGGTGTAGGGACCCTCAGGCACCTGCTGAACCAGTGACCTCTAGTTCTTTGAGAGCCATGTGCTTGCTAGGTACCACTTGGGGCAGCTTTTGGATGCTGGATAGGCCAGCACCCTCTCAGCACCTCTCATTGTGTACCTATCTATATTCCTGCTTTTGATAAATGTTTCCCCAGCACCAGCCTACAGAGAAGTCAGCTCAGCCAGTGCCTGGGACCACCCATCTGGCAGGCAGGAGGAAAGACAGACTTTTCCAGCAGGGAAGATCAAGTTGGGTGCTGGCAAGGTTAACTTTCTTTGATGTCTGCTCCAGCAGTAATCACCTAGTCCAGGTCTGCATGTTACTTGGCTACCATGGCCCATTTTCCTTCAGTAATGTGGAGCAGCAGGGTACAGGGGCTCATGCCTGTAATCCTAGCACTTTTGGAGGCCAAGGCAGAGCTAATCACTTGACATCAGGAGTTCAAGATCAGCCTGGCCAACATGGTGAAATGTTGTCTCTACTACAACTACAAAATTAGCCAGGCATGGTGGTGCATGCCTGTAATCCCAGCGAGTTGAGAGGCTGAGGCAGGAGAATCACTTGAACCTGGGAGGCGAGCTCACACCACTGCACTCCAGCCTGGGCCAACAGATTGAGACTCTGTCTCAAAAAACAAAAATTGTGAAGAATAAATGAGATAATGTATGGAAAAAATACTACAAGCTGGGTACAGTGGCTCATGCCTGTAATCCCAGCATTTTGGGAGGCTGAGATGGGTGGATCATAAGGTCAGGAGTTCAAGACCAGCCTGGCCAAGATGCTGAAACCCCATCTCTAATAAAAATACAAAAATTAGCCAGGTGCGGTAGCATGTGCCTGTAATCCCAGTTACTCAGGCAGCTAAAGCAGGAGAATCACTTGAACCTGGGTGGCAGAGGTTGCAGCGAGCTAAGATCACACCACTGTACTCCAGCCTGGACAACAGAGCAAGACTCCATCTCAAAAAAAAAAAATACTGCATAAGAGACACTGTTTATGCTATGTTTTCTAAAGATTTTATCTTCGTAAAACATTTTATAGTGTGAAGTTTTAACTAACATGTCCACGCTATTTTCATTGTTTTCCCTATTAAATAATATTTAACCAACTTTTTGGTTGTCCCTAGGTATCTTTTATTGGTGGCAGCAGCAATGAAACAACTTTCTTGAAGTTTTACTATGAAGGAATGTTGAATTTTATGTTTTTCAGTATCTACTGAAATGATTATATTTTTTTTCTTGATTTGCTGAATGTGATGCAGCACATTTATATATTTGTGTTTATTGAATCATCTTCATATTCCTCAGATGAATCCCACTTCATCATGGCAGATGATCCTTTTATTGTCTTGTCAAATGCAGTTTTCATGTATTTTGTTGAGGATTTTTTATATCTGTGTTCATCAGGGATATCTGCGTGACTTTTTCTTTTTTGTGTTGTGTTTTGGTTTTTGTACCAGGGTAGTGCTGGCCTCTTAGAACAAGTTTGGATTCCTCTTCATTTTTGGAAAAATGGCTTGAGTAAAATTGGTATTAGCTCTTTTAAAAATGTTTCATTGAATTCATCAGTAACACCATGATTCTTGTGTTTTTCTTTGTCAGGGGACTTTTTGTTACTACTTTAATTGCATTACCCATAATTGGTCTGTTCAGGTTTCTTATCTTTCTGTCATTTTATCCACACCAGCCCAGGGATGCAGGGGAGGCCCCAGTGAGTGACCACACTAGCTGCTGCCTTTCTCTCTGGCCAGTGACACATTCATTTCAGCATCCCCAGGTGTTCTAAGCGGGGCAGAGTGTGGCCTGTCCTGGCTTGGGAATGCACAAACACAGGGCCCCTGGGTGAGCCTAGAGCTGGGGCTGTAGCTAGAACTTCAGGGCAAGAGAGGCCCCTGACCTCTCACTTCCTGGTCCCGGTCATGAGGTTTCAGGAGTGGGGCCAGAGTGGGCTCACTCAATGTTGTGTAGTGACAGAACAGAGAAGGCAGTAGCCTTTGACACTTCACATGAAAATGTGGCATAAGAAGAACCACAGATCAATCCAGTCTTGGCCAGAAAGTCATTGCCATTGGCGAAAGAGCCAGTGTCTGAGTGCCTGTAGCTATGTATGTATGAATTATATATGTATATATATGTAATGCTTCTTGGCTTACAGTGTCTAAATATTTACCATCTAATGCATCAGAAGAAATGTTTGCTTTTCCCATTGCTAACTGATAATGACTGTGCATGACCCTATAAAAATTTAACCACTTTTGATAACAATAAACAATATTAGCTGCCATTTACTGAGGCTCAGAAATGTTAAGTAACTAGCCTAAGGTCACACAGCTAGTAAGTGGCAGAGCAGGATCTTACAGTTACAGTTTGGAGGGAAGAGGAGAATAAGTGATGGATTTGATTCCTGCCATGCAGATGCAGGTGGCCCCCTGGACTTCAGTTTCTCCAGGGCCTGGCTTAACTCCAGAACTGCCAGGCAGCTCTGTGACCCCATCTCTCCTCATGAGCTTGCTCTGGGATGGCCACCAAAGCTACTTTTTAATTACAATCCACTGAGAACACTGTGGCCAGAAGCTTCTATCTTCCTGGCATTTTTCTTCCTGTGGGGCCTCCCAACCTCAGCAATTCCTCTGTAACATGGCTAACTCCCCTCTTGTTTTCTCCTAGACTTTACCTTGTGGATTCAGAGAGGAGACTGCTGTTGCCAAGCCCTGCTGAGCATCATTTCTGGTTTGGCAGAGTTGATGAGCCTCCTGCTTCTTGAATACTCCTGACTCATCTCTGCAGAGCAGACACACCTCACTTCTTGGAAATCACTGAAGAATGTTCTGGTAAGTAAATTTTTCAGGAATGAAAGCTTACTGCTCAGAACATTCAACTTTAGAAACCTGGAACTACGACACGATATGAGGCACTGCAGGGAGGAGGTGCTAAAGACAGATCTTAGGCTTACCAACTTTAGTTGAAATACTTTGTAAGAGCACAGTGTAATTTTTTTGGCAAGTGGGTTTTTAAAATTGTTTTTCACCATGCTTATTTTTGGAGGTAACAATTAAGAGGGGTACATTTTTTTTAAAAAAGTTGAGCGTTGGGCCTTTTAAAAACTCTATGTTTAAAGAACATGAAGGAAGTAGGAGGGAAATGTTCTCTTTGTAAACAAACTCTAATGGAGTACATTCTGTGGGGCTGAAGGAAAACCTCATTTGGGTAAGATTCTAATTGTATTCTTCCATATAGTGCAAGAGAAGCTGGCAACCTGTATTTTACTGCTCAAAAAAGAAAATACAAGGCTCAACTTGGTTCTGATGCAGAACTCAGGAGCTCCTAAAAGAGCAAGTGGAATGAAATGCTTCCTTTTTTATTTTCTTCTCTTTAGAAACCATTAACCCATTGTTTATTTGGAAATGGCTTATGTGGCATGCAGAATATATGAACACAAAAACTGAACATTTATTTATCCATTATATTAAACATGCTGTGACTGCTTCAAGCTGAGTGATGCACAACTTGTGTCAATGCAAAATTCAATATAGAATTCTGACATATGTTAATAAAACTTTGGTATAAGGCAAAAAAAAAAAAGAAAGAAAGAAAAAAAGAAACCTGGAACTACTTTGCCCATTAATCTGTTTATGTTTCTGAGATGGGTATCTTGTTCTTGTCGCCCAGGCTGGAGTCCAGTGGTACAATCTCGGCTCACTGTAACCTCTGCCTCCTGAGTTCAAGCAATTCTCTTGTGCTAGCCTCCTTAGTAGCTGGGATTACAGGTACCTGCCACCACGCCCAGCTACATTTTATATTTTCAGTAAAGATAGAGTTTCACCATGTTGGTCAGGCTGGTCTTGAATTCCTGACCTCAGGTGGTCCGCCTGCCTTGGTCTCCCAAAGTGCTGAATCTGTGCTATGGTCATGTCCAAGACAGGGCCCAGCCAAATCTAGAGTGATGGCTAGGATAGGGTCAAACCCAGGGTAGGGTCAAGGCGAGGGCAGGACCAGGGTGGTACCAAGACCAAGGTAAGGACAGAGAATGGCCAGGTTAGGGACAGGACAAGGGCAAGGATAATGCAGGTTCATGGCATGGCCAGGGTCTAGGGATAGGGCAAGGGCCATAGCATCACCAGCAACTGGGCTGTGGCTAGGACAGTGACAGAGCCAGAGTCAGGGCCAGAGCAGTGCATGGCCAGGGTAATGCCAGGCATTTCAGGGTCAGACAGGATCAGGACCAGGGAAGAACCAGGGTAAGGCCTCAAGCAGGACAGGACCAGGACCAGGGTCTAGGTTAGTGCCAGGGCTGGGCCATAACAGAGGGGCAATGCCAAGGCAGGACCTGAGTAGGGTAAGGATCAGGACCAGGACCAGGGTGGGGGTAGGGCCAAGTCTGTGACAAGGTAGGGTCATGGCAGAGCATGGCCAGAACTGGTTTATAAAGAAGGCAGGGCCAATGCTAAAGTAAAGCCAGAGGCTGAGGCAGGGTCAGTGAATATCAAGGGTGGGACCAGGGCCAGGGCACCGCCAGGGTATTGTAGGTCAGGGCATTGGTACGACTGGGATGTTGCAGTGTCATTTCAATGCCAAGACAGGGCAGAACAGGGAACGATGATGGTAGGGACAGGGCAGGGACAAGCCAAGGCTGGGCCAGGTCAATTCAGGGTCAAGATACCTCCAAGTTCAGTTTAGGACCATGGCAGGTCCAGGGCTATTGCAAGACAAAGTTTAGAACCAGGGCCAGGTCCAGTGCAGGACCTAGTCAAAGCTAGATTAAGGACCAAGGTAGGGACAGGTCAGTGTCTAAGCCAGAGTAGGCCAAGGGCAGGGACAGGGTAGGGTGAAGACACAGCTAGGGTATGGCAGAGGAAGAGTGGTTCAAGACAAGGGCTATACCAGGACAGAGCAGGATCAGGGCCATGACAGAGACAGGGCAGGTCCTTGGCCGGACCCAGGACCTGGGAAGGGTCAGTCCTGGATAACAGCAGGGTTATGGTCAGCGATATGGCAGGCATAGGGCAGGGCCATGGTAAGGCATGTCCAGAGCAAGGCCATACAGAGGGTAGAGAAAAAGCCAAGGTAGGGTTAGGACAGGTCCAGGGAGGAACCAGGGCCAGGGCACAGCCAGGGTAGGATAGGACAGGGCAATGACACTACTGGGCCATGGCAGGGCCAGGTCAGTCCTGGAAGAGAGCAGAACAGGCAAGGCCATGGTGGAGACAGGGCAGGGAAGGGTCAAGGCAAGGATGGGACAAATCAGGCCCACGACATGTCCAAGTACGGGTCACAGAACAGGACCAGGACCATGACCATTGGCAACCCTGGGGTCATGTCAGGACCAGGGTCAGGACAAAAGCAAGGTCATAGTGAAGGCATGGCCCGCCCAGGTCCAGGGAAGGGGTAGGGCATGTTAGGGCCAGTGTAGTGCAGGGACAAGGAAAGGGCAGGGCAGATAGGAATCAGGGCAAGACCAGGACCATGACAGAGTGGGGACAGGGAAGGCCAAGGGCAAGGGCAAGGCCAGAGAAGGGCCAGAAGAAAAGCAAGCCAGGGAGAGTCCAAGGCAAGAATGGCCAGTTCAGAACCTGAGCCAGGAGAGGCCAAAGGCAGGGCTAGGACAGAGCAAGACCAGTTTATGGAGGGACATAGCAACCCAGGGTATGGCCAGGGCAAGGTTAGGGACAAGGTAAGTCTAAAATAGCACAGGACCAAGACAGAGCTAGTGCCAGGGCAGAACCAGAGAATGACAGGGCCAGATCAGGATCAATTCAATGGCATCGGCAGCATCAGCACCAGGCTATGGGCAAGGCAGGTAAATGCAGAGCTAAGGAGGGGCCAGGGTCGAAGCAGACACGGGGTGGGTCCAGTGTCAAGGCACAACAATTGCAGGGTGAGTACTTTACCTGGGCCAGTTTAGGGCCAGGTCAAGGTTGGGCCCAGAACAGGGCCAGAACGGGTCAGGGCCAGTCAGGGTCCAGGGCAAGGGCAGAACCAAGGCAGAACCAGGAACAGGAGAAACCAAAGGTAGGGCCAGGGCAGGGTAGGGCTAGAGCAGAGTATGACTAAGGTAGGACAGGGCCTGGCCAAAAGCAGGGGAAGGGCTAGGATCAGGGCAAGGGCAAACACTGTGCCAGGGTATGGTGTGGCCAGTACAGGGCCAGGTTAGAGGATGACAGGTCAGACCAGGGCAAGGCCAGGGAGAAGGTAGAACCAGGGCCAAGGTCATGCCAATGCAGAGAGGGCTGATGAAGGGTCAGTGCAGGGAGAGGGCAAGATCAGGACATGGAAGACCAAGGAAGAGCAAGAGAAGGGCCAATGCAGGGCCAGGGTTCAGCCCAGGTCAGGTTCAGGGCCTGGATAAGGATACAGCTAATGCCCCACTGGTCCAGGGCAGAGCCATGGCAGTACTGGGCAGAGTCACAGCATGGCCGTAGAGAGAGCAGGACAAAAGCCAAGTCAGAGTCAGGGCAAATCCAGGAAGGGTCTAGGGCAGGCCAGAACCAAGGAATCTCCAGTGCAGGATAAGACAGTATAATGGTATGACTAGGCCATGGCAGTGCCAGGAAAGGGCAGAACAGGCAGGGTCTTGGTGGGGTCAGGGCAAGGACAGGCCAAGGCATGACAGTGACAAATCGGGCCCTGGACATATGCAAGTCCAGGTCAAGGCCAGAACAGGACCAGCACCATGTCCATTGGCAGGCCAAGGCCATGGTAGGACCAGAGTCAGGATGAGGGACAGGTCGGGCCCAATGCAGGTTTCAGGGCAGGTACAGGGTAGCATGTTGCCAAGACAGGACAAGCGTGGGGCCAGAGCAGGGAAAGGCAATGCAGAGACAGGTCCAGGGCAGGGGCAGGACCTGGTCAAATGCCAAAGCGATGCTGAGAGCAGGTCCAAGGAAGAATCGGGGCCATTGAAGCAGATGGCCAAGGAAAGACTGGAGCAGGGAAGGGGTCAGCACAGGGCCAGAGTGAAAGCAGTGACCTGGCCAGAAGCATTGCAAGGCCAGAGGTAGGTCAGGACAAAGGCCACGTCCAGGTCAGGACTATGGCTGGAGGAGTGGGTAGGTTCAGGACCATGGCCATAAGGGCCATGACAGAACCAGGACCGGGTCAGGATCCTCATATTGGCAATGCAGAGCAAGGAAAATGGCAGTTCCCAGTCAGGACTATGCCAGGGCAGGACCAGAACTGGGACAGGGCCAGAGCAAGGGCAGGACGAGGGCTGGGTCATGGCCAGGAAAAATTCAGGGGCAGGGTCACAGCCAGGGACATGACAGGACCAAGATAAGGCTCAAGACTGAGCCAGAAACAGGGTAGGACCAGGACCAGGCAGGAACATGGCAGGGCTAGGGCTTGGGACAGGACAAGTTCAGTAGCAGCACAAGGCAGGGCAGGGCTAGGGTTTTGCAGAGGAACGGCAGGATAGGGCCAGTTTGGAACAAGGATGTGGCCAGAGGATGGAAGTGTAGGGACACAGAAGGCCATGCCGAGGACATGGACCAGGCAGGGCCCACAACAAGGCTGGGCCAGAAAGGGACCAGGACAAGGGCAAGACCACTGAAGGGCCAAGGAAAAGGTAGGGCCACGGAGGACCCAAGGCAAGGACAGGGCCCTGTGAAAACCAGAATCAGGACCAAGGCAAGACAAAGGGAAGGGAGGGCCACAACAGGCCATAGTAGGGCCAGGGTAAGGTCAAAGCTAAGGCAGGACTAGGGTAGCACAGGGTTAAGGCAGGGCCAGTGAAGGGCAAAGCTACGGCATCACCAGGGCAGACCCAGGGCATGGTCAGGTCCGCAGCTTGAACAGGGAAGGGTTAGTGCCATGGCCAGGTCTAAGACAAGGCTAGGGCAGGACTATGACAGGACCAGGACCATGGAAGGACCAGGGTTAGGAGCAGGGGTCAGGTCTGTGCTAGGGTCAGAGTGGGGGCCAAGGTAAAGCAGGGCCAGATCAAAGGGGCAAGACCAGGACCAGGGTGAGGTCAGGGCCAAGATAGAACTAGGATTGTTCAGGGTCAAACCCAGACCGAAAGCAATGCATGGTCATGGTCGGAGACACTGTCATCAAGTCTAGGCCAGGGCCAGGGCCAGAGCAAATGCAGAGCCAAGGGGAAGGCAGGAACATGGAGGGTCTAGAGGAAGGCAAGATCAAGGCAGAACCAGAACCAGCACAAAGCAAAAGTGGGGACAGGACAGCACAAGACCAGGTGAGGGTCAGGTCCAAAACAGGTCAGGGCTAGGATAGTATAAGGCATAGCAAAAAGCAAAGCAGTGGTCATAGCTGGGGTACCACTAGGAAAAAAAAGGGCCAGGGTATTTGGGGCCATTAAAGGCCCATAACAGAGGATGACATGCAAGACCAGGGTAAGGAAGAAGGAAGGGCCAGGGCCAGGACTGTGCCAAGACAGAGAGTGCCAGTTCAGGGTCATTTCAGGGTGAGGGCAAGACCAGGGAATGAAAGGGTAGGGAAGGTCCAGGACAGGGCCATGGTCCAGGGTAGGGCAGGGTCAAGGTCAGGGCCTGGAAAAGGGAGTGGCTGGGGCCAGGGATATGACAGGACCAGATCAGGGCAGGGAAAAACTCAAGGCAGTGTCAGGGCAGATCCAA